TCAGTCGATGCGTCTCAACAAGACAAACACAATGAGACCATCCCCAGCGTTCTATCTCTTTCCAATCGCGAGTTATTGGCAAAAAACTGTTTGTAGCCTCAAATGACCTCGGATGACCTTTCTGGAGGCTATCAGCAAAAATGACACCTTGGTCATAACGAGTGGACTAAATCATTGTGATTCTGAAATATTTGGACTGTTCCTATGCGCACACACGGATCTAGAGGCATTTTCATTTTTCTCCATTGACTTGTAATGGAAAGGTCACGCCACTGACCTGACCTTCGTCACGGATATAAAAAAAAATCCGAGATATACAAATTGTAGGCGCCCATAACAGCATGCAATCCACCAAGTTTAAAACCATTCTGACAAACACTGCAGGCTGGACATGATTGCAAACTTTTTTAGGCTTGGTCAGTTAACTTGATCTGGTGACCTGACCTGACATGACCTGGTGTCAAAAATTTCACACATTGTCCAAAAGTGATGTACGTACCAAAAGCTACCCCAAGCGGCGCGGCGCTACGCGCCGCGGTTTTTATTCACACGCAAAAAACGCGACAGGGTGGTAACATATGCCCCCCCCCCCCCACTGGGGCGAAGGTTAATTGTATTTAACCAACAGCATGTGTAAGCAGGCGCAGATATACATATCTGATTCAGATGTATAGCAACCATGTTGAACGAAATAGTAATCAAACCACACAAAAACACATACACTTCCAAATCAAACCAAAAGATCGAACAGCTTCAAGAATGCAAAGGGAGCTGTGCGTAGAACAGGCTTAGCTGCCAATCACATAAGTCTGTCGTATGGCCGACCGTCTCCTAACTCGGTGGCAGCGAGTTCGTGGCTGGGGAGCTCCACAAGGTTTGACCCGCGTTTCTATGTCTATGTTTTACGCCAGCTGGCAACTGGCCAGAACGGGCCACAATAGACTCTGGAGGACCGTGCCGCCATCCACAAACAGTACATCACTTCTCTACCGGTAAACTGGTAAACACTACCGGTAAACTGGGCGCGGGCAAGGTCGGGTGGTGGATCCGTGCCGGTGTCGTTCGCAGCAAGCACTGCTTAGCTAGCACCGGGGGCCACAGGCCACATAATCATCCATTCGGCAATTTTTTTTTTTATAAAGAAAACGTTAATAGATACATTTCTTTTATCATCCTCTTCCAGTAAACATTTGGGGATAATTGGATCGATTTACTACATCGATTTTTACTGTGCAGTGTGCAGGTAAGTCCAATGTGAGGCATTTTCATAGCATTTTTATAAGCATCCTTCCTTTATAAGTTTAAAATGTAGGCATCACCAATGACCTTTTCTTGATAATTAACGAAAAAAGACTAAATTTGTGCCAAAAATATACTGTATTGGGATATTTCAGCCACAGGCCTTTTTAAAAAAAATGTGCCGAAGGTGATCGCAGAAAGATGATCTTTCGATACAATAAATGTTTGAAACAGGCTTGCGACTGAAATATCACCATAAGCATATTTTTCAGCACATATTTAGTTTTTGTGAATTACCGAGGAAAATGTCATGATTACACATTTTCAATTTTCATTAGCCATGTTCCTCGCTCAAGTACCTTCTCCATCCTTGCTTTTCTTTCAACAGAAATAGACAAGTGACGGCAGTATAACAAAATCGTTCAATCACAGATTGATGTTACTTGACCTTGCTTTGTCATTTTGTCAGGGCTTATTCCTCTATTCTTCTTATTTTCTTGCATCCTCTTTCTCATTGGGCTTGTTTCGGCCATATACGGTCACCAGGCCACGGGCACGATGCTGCGGCGTTTATGGGGTGTATTTACAAATCTGTCTGTAAAGATACTTTCCAGATGTAACGGGGAAATCCAGCCAAAACGCATCCCCAGTCTGGGCCGCCACGCAGAGGTCATTTGTCGGCTTGTCATTGGGCTGGTCATCTCGCCAGTACGTGAAGTCCAAAGAGGTGCCGTCCAGCCAGCGAAACTCCCGAGTCGCAGACGGACCTGTGTGCTCCAGACCGATGTAGGCTCCTGCTCTCGGAATTAGCGACTTGACAAGGTTATTTTCCTCCTCCGAGTGGATTGATGCTAGCTCGGAGCCAGAGCGCAAATTACGACAGGCGGCTTTCGATGAGGTACAATCAAGTTTATCCATCAGAAGAATAAAACATGCTCTGCCCGAATCGAATTCTATCCAGTCTGGGTCGCAAATCCTGATCTTGTCCCCAATCAACTGACAAGTGCCTGTCTCGGTGTTTTCGGAGCACGCTACAGCACGGCAGCCTGGCTGGAGCAAGCAAAGCACGCCGCACTGGGCACAGCTACCGGCGGTCGGGGTGGCCAGCGTGCCGCGGCCGTGGTCGGCCCAAGGCAGTACCGGTACCAGCCGAGCCTCTGAGCTCGTCACCAGCTGTGGCACCATCAGCAGCAGGGACAGACACAGCGGCGCGGGAGACATGTCCAAGCGGAGCGAGCAAAAGAGCGTCAGCAGCTGACGACACGGCGGCTCGAACTGCTCAACTTGAAGAACCTCAGCCCAGAGCTGCTACCGCTCATGTTTACTTAGTGATATTGTTTGATAATCCTTACCCTATGATATGCTTTCAAACAGATTAGTTGCACGTTTGGGTCGTTGTGATACATTATTCACAATATGAATGTGAACACAAAAATAATGATGCATTAACTAAAAAGCACTCCAATCGCATCGCATGGAATATTGAAATAAACTTAGATAAAATCATTGCATAAAATCGGGATTTAACCCTCGCATGTATAGGGGGAGGACCCCCCCCATGGTTTTTCGCGAATTACTCGCGTAAAAAGCGGCTGATCGCGACGAAACTTTCAGTACCCTCACATTGATCAATTTTACACCTACCCTGAAAATTTCATGACCCTGACCCAAATGACCTTTGACCTGTGACCTCTTTTCCGAGACCATGTTTGGCCGGAATCGCGATTCTGCGTATGTCGGCTCGCATTAGCCGCGCGTTTGCAAGCTTTTCGTGGTTTCAAACGTTCAAACATGTGATTTGATGTTGCTTCCATGCATTAGGGTGGGTGTCAAGGTCACCTGAAGGTCAGGTCAGGTCATTGACCTTTGGTGACCTCGGGTGACCTCGGCTCACTTTTTCGAGCTGTACATGTTTCTAGGCTAGTTTTTGGAGCTGAATTCGAATTTAGCAGCCATTTGAACATTTACGAAGTATTTTTGGTGCCTTCGTAACATGTTACGAAGCTGTCAGAGGCGGTTTACACGTACTACGAATACCCGTCACGATGCCTACTGGTTGACCTGACCTGACCTGACCCGACCTGGTCTAAATGCTTAAAGACATCATCTGTGATCAAAACCAACACGATATTCGTGATCAGCACCCCGAAAAACCCCTTAGCAGACACACTTTACGACTTTCTAACAGGTCCCGATTTTCCCGACTTTGGGTCATTGACCTGACCTGGAAGGTCACCCAATGACCTAGGACCTTAAAATTGGGTATCATCGGCTTCCTCTCGTCACGGGCAACACGCTCGTTTTTTCCGCGAAGCTCTAGCTCGATCAGGGGCCTAACGGCAAGGGGGGGGGTCCAACCGACCCCCCCCCTACACATTACAAGCTGGCAAACGCCGCACACATGCGAGGGTTAAAGTTAACCCTCGCCCGTAAACGGCGATCTGCCACCTTCGCCCATGCAGGGGGGGGGGGTTGGTGCGACCCCCCCCCTTGGCGTTTGAAAACGGAGCGTCGTAGAGCTTAGCGGAAAAGACCAACGGATTGCTCTCGCCGAGATCTCGCGATTGGTGGTATATTTTTTGGTCCTAGGTCAACATTTGACCTACTTTTGACCGGTCAAAGGTCAAATTTTCGGAAAAATAGACTTTTTTCAACTTTCGGCGGCGATTGCGGCAAAACGGTGGGAGATATCGACTTGAAACCTTCACTATCGTGTTCCTTGATCAATTCTCTATCGTTTGGTATGTATTTCGTTTCCCTAGCTCTAAAAATGGCGCGTTGGGAGCGCCGGAGGTCGGCAAGGTCACAGTCGGCGGCAGAAATTCGAAAAATCAAAATTTAAATTTTTGAAATCTGATTGTATTTTTGGATTTGGGAGGTCCATTTGCTCCCTATAGAAGCTAATATTGCTGCATATTCCCACTGAGGTGACAAGAATTAGCAAAATAGTGGTTCGGGCGCTTTTCAAAAATAGTACCGGACGCTGTTCCTCTTGTGACGTCATAGCTCCGTGACCTGACCTGACCCGGTCAAGTTTCTTATACCATATGATAGCCAATACTTGCCCCAACATGCATGGGAAGTTTCATCACGATCCATCAACCGATCTCCGTACCACCAGCAGGAAACCTCGGGCGTTGGCACTCAGTTTGTGAAAATCCGGCCGGAGGCTGTTCCCTTTGTGACGTCATAACTCCGTGACCTGACATGACCCGGTCAAATTTTTTTTATCAAAAGATGCGCAAGGTTTGCCCCATAAGGTACCCAAAATTTGGCGGCGCTGCGCGCCGCCGTTTTTGCACTATTTCCGAAAAACCTCAGGGGGGGGGGGTTGCACCAACCCCCCCCTACATGGGCGAGGGTTAACATTCAGCAACCAAGATCAGCGCACGAGTGAGAATGATGCAGTTCGGGGGGGGGGCGGGGGACGAGAAGGAGGTCGGTAGTAGGGCATGGTATCAACTCTCTTGGGAAAATTGGGAAGCGTTTGAAGCCTATATGTAAATAAGACATTTTAGGCGATCAATCTGATTCAATTTTTCGCCATCTGTGCTTCAAAGCCATTAACCCGTGCCCCGTGGGGATAGTGGCCAGGCGGACCCTGCCACGCCACCCGTATGGGGAGGGGGGGGGGGCATTTAGGCTTAATTCCCCCCTAAAGTATCGGAAAGTTACCGAAAATCCCGTCGTGAAATATGTAGCATTTTGTCCATGCCCCTTCCGATCACATTTTGTTGACGACGTGTCTGTGTCTCGTCCAGTCCGTGTTTTTTCCTGCGTTCAACGTCGTCATCCGTAACTGGAGCGGTGCTGGCGAGTTTCCACTGCTGTTCGGCCTGGCCTGGAGCGGCACCTACCTGGGCAGTGCGGCCGCGTTCCCTCTCAGCAGCACGCTGTGCCAGCAGCACCAGCTGGGAGGCTGGACCGCCATCTACTATGGATCAGGTGACTCATCGAACTGAAGTAAAACCATTCCAATTATCAGGCTAACAATAATCTTGTTCACCTTATTTGCTTACGTTGCGCTAATATTAAGCATAATTTAATGTAAATACATGCACATTTAATATGAGAACTTGTTCCCGCTTTAGTCTGATTTAGCTTTTGCGTATGCCAGAGACTCACAAGCAATATCTTGCTCGTCTTCAGGGCTCGGATTAGCGCTCTGGGCCATATTAGCATGCGTCATGCTAAATGAAACGCCACAACATATGCGTTTTATTTCTGGCGTCGAGAAAAGCTTCCTGGCATCGCACAACGGTGATTCTAGGTCCAACAAAGAGCAGGTGAGTTTTACGGCATGGCGTAATTGTCACTTGCATGTGTGACTTCTCGCTAATGGAGGCCGTTGAAACTACCCGTATCCTACCTTTATTACTTTCTCTTTTCTTCGTTAGCTAATGGAATTTTAAGGGACATTGGGTTGGAACCCATGTGTGCATATCCCTTGGTGCTGGTGTACCATATACTATAATAGGTACCGCGTTATCATAGTTATAATACACTAAACCGCGCTGTGTAATGGTACTATAAGACCCTGTTGACTGTTCGCGTAATGAAAGGAGGAGTGCCGCCCCACTAGCTCCATATCAACTATTCCGATATTTTAAATTTATGGCCCTCAATAGTATCATTAAAGAGCTAGCAAGTGATCCAGAGCATAGGCATGAAGGTTATTACGCCGTAGAATATTACAACTCATTATCATCGGGCAACTATATACTTGGCAGCACCGCTCTTTTACCTTTCCAGTGAGAATATGCAACTGCCATTGCACGGCTTCAGTGTGATTGATGTTGGTGATAACAGGTTTAGAAAATGCATCATCATTGCTCGGTGATATTTTAAGGCATTGCCAATTTTTTTGAAAACGTTGCAACTATTCATGGTCACGATCTGCGTGCTTACTATTGGTGCCAATCGGAATTTATTTTCTTGGAATTCCAATTTTTGTCCAATTCCAATTCGGAATTTGGACGGAATTCTTAACATTTTTTGGAAATTAATCGGAACACAAGGCCTTTAAAATTTAAAATTTTAAAACGGAGGCCTTTAAAACGCTTTTAAACACTTTTAAAATTTACGCAAAAAATGCAAAAATCGTTAAAAATTGGAATAGCCCCCGCTTTGGACAAAATTGGAAATTTACTTGGCAATTTCTTGGAATTGGATCGGAATTGGAATTGAAATTTCATGAAATTGGCACCACTAGTGCTTACATTTAGCGAAATGAACGTCGCCATTGTATGATACATTCCCTACCTTGTCGTTATTTGTTCACATACTACCACACGGATTTGCCGAACGGGCAAGTTATGTTATGTAGGCATGCCGCCATTGTAAATAGGCGCTCTGATCGTTGAATTGGTGGTCGATAAATGGTCGGTGCCTTTGCTTTCCTTTTTCAAAACCACAAAACAACACGCTAAATACGTATCTGCTTTATTCCAGGTGCTGCCAGTATCGCTGTGTGTCCTGATGAGAAATCTCCAAGTGTGGATCATATCCCTCAGTTACTTTGTGGTTGCTTGGTTCTTCGCAGCAATGAACATCACACTACCAACATTCATGAAAGAAGGGTTCGATTTTGACATTGAAGAAGTAAGAGCGTTGCGTTGTTATTTCAGTTGTGAAGCTATGCGTAAAAAAGAAAAGAAAACTAGTTTCGGAACTTAGCACATACGCAATATACGCATATATTAATGACGAGGCTACTTTGTTCTATGAAAAGGTGTGGTTTCATTTGATCAGACACTGCGTACCATTTTCATCATTCATTTCCTCCCAATCGATTCATGAAGGTCTGATTCAATTCATTGATACTTCCTGCTATTCTGCTCCTGTCATCCTCACATGCTGTTGTTTTTCAGAACGGTTTTCTGTCTGCGCTGCCTAGCCTGTGTATGTGTTTGTTTGTCGTCCTCGGCGGTAAAATGTTTGCCTATCTACACGTCAACAGAGGCATCTCCAAAACCAACGGAAGAAAAATCATGTCAATGATTGGTAAGAACATCGCAACGCAGGAAACTGAATAGGCTACGAAAAGGAATATTATTTTTAAGTCAGGAATGAACTCTGAGCTAGGCCTGCAACCCTATTTTTTTTCGGGAGAAAGGTTTTCTTTACATAATGCCCTTTCTCAAAATTGTACGTTGATATTAAATTTTTCTCTCATTATTTATACAGAAAGCTATGTAAGCATCTATACTACTATTTGAACAGGATCCATCTGTTTGTTTGTTTGTCTGTCCGCCACGCCGTGTAGTGGGTTCAATTTAGCCGGCCTACAGGGCAGACGGTATATCGTAGGGGGTTGAAATTTGCACACCTTATAGGTGACGTAACGGGTCAGCGCCTTTTCTGGGTTTCGGCTCGCTGGGGTGCACGGTTCGCGCGTGGGGCGCGCTGGAAGAACGCCAATGAAATTTTGATCGGTTCGTATATCTTCATTGAGAGCCGGGGTCGACAAACTTTGTGAACTAAATCCATGCCGATCGGTGGCGGGTGCCTCGCATTGGCGGATGGGCAAGTTTTAATTTGAATAAAAAGTGGCGAGAGAATGTGAAGATTTTCGTTGAATGGCAACAGTTTGTGATACGAGTTTCAAATGCACCGTGTTTGCCGCAATGCGCCACAATTACCTTAGGGCGTCATTTTTGTAGCAAATCGCACAGTTTTTGTCAAATATGGTCCGATATGGGTGCAATTTGGTGCAAGGATGCATGCTCAATCGCCGGGTGAAAATGCGCCGCGTTTGTCGCAATGCGCCACATATGCCACAAAGCGCCATTTCCGACAAATACGATTAAGCGCAATGGAATGGTACGAATAAGGGCAGGGCTGGGAACACTTTAAGTCTGATATTTTAGTACTGATTGGATCCAATTATTCTGTGACCTGACATGATCTAGCGGTGTTCGTAGGGGTAGGAGTAGGGGTAGGGGTAGGGGTAGGGGTAGGGGTAGGGGTAGTGGTAGGGGTAGTGGTAGGGTAGTGGTAGGGGTAGTGGTAGTGGTACTGGTAGGAGGTAGGGGTAGGGGTAGTGGTAGGGGTAGTAGTAGGGGTAGGGGTAGTAGTAGGGGTAGTAGTAGAGGTAGTGGTAGGGGTAGTGGTAGGGGTAGGAGTATGGGTAGTAGTAGGGGTAGGGGTAGGGGTAGTGGTAGTGGTAAGGGTAGGGGTAGTAGTAGGGGTAGTGGTAGGAGTAGTGGTAGGGGTAGTGGTAGAGGTAGGGGTAGAGGTAGGGGTAGTGGTAGGGGTAGTGGTAGAGGTAGGGGTAGAGGTAGGGGTAGTGGTAGGGGTAGTGGTAGTGGTAGGGGTAGGGGTAGGGGTTGTGGTGGAGGCAAAAGTAGAACAGTGGCCCGGGCTGATCCCATCGGACGAGAGGTGACCTATGAGACCTGGCCTGACCCAAAGTGACCGGGGCTGACCCCTTTGGCCCATCTTGACCCCGTATCAGTCAAATTTCATCCAACAAAGCCCCCAGAACAGCTCTTTTTTAATTCTCTTCACATTTCCGTCCATATCTATGCTTCTAGCCAACACATCGATTTGAAACGAACACCATTCGAAAGCAAATTGGCTGGTGCCGCATTTTTTTCCTACCACGCAGCAAAGCAAGTGGCGCAGCCGCTTGTCTATATTACTATTTGAGATCAGTCCGTCTGTTTGTCTGTCTTTCTGTCTGTCCGCACTTGGTCTCCCCAATATATTGCAGTTCGCAGTTTTGGTGAAATTTTCGGTGACATGGGGTCAGTTATCGGTGCGTGGAGGTCAAACGGTTGCGAGGAGGTGGCTGAAACTTGCGCACCGCGTAGACGACGCTTCGGGCGTGTGCCTTTGCTGCAGGTCTGCAGTCGGTGGGGTGCACGGTTTGCGCGTGGCGCGCGCTGGAAAAAGGTGTTTTTTCTCCAAATTTTGCTCGGATCTCAAGGCATCGGCAGCCGGGTTCAATCGCCTTTGACAATAAAATGCATGACGATCGGCGGTGGGTGCCTCTCATTTACAGATTGGCCAAGTTATTTATTTTGATAAACAGAGGCGAATGAAGGTGTTGATTTTCGGTAAATAAAGACAGTTTTCAATGCGCTTAACCGACTGCACCGCGTTTGCCGCAGTGCGCCACATTTGTCCACATGCGCTATTTTTGCCGCAAATCGCACAACTTTGTCAAATATGGTCCGATAAAGGTGCAATTCGGTGGAAGGATGCATGGCAAAACGAAAGGAATAAATGCACCACTTTTGTCGCAATGCGCCACATTTGTCACAAGGCGCCATTTCAACCAAATACGAATAAGAATAATGAAATGACACGAGTAGGAGCAGGGTTAGGAACTCTTTTTTTTAGTTCATCAGTTTATATGATAGTCTGTGACCTCACATGACCCAGCGATAGTGGTGGTAGTGTTGTGGTAGTAGTATTGGTAGGAGTAGCGGTAGGGGCAGTGGTAGTATTAGGGGTAGTGGTAGGGGTAGTGTTAGGGGTAGTAGTAGGGGTAGTGGTAGGGGTAGTGGTAGGGGTAGTAGTAGGGGTAGTAGTAGGGGTAGGGGTAGTGGTAGGGGTAGTAGTAGTGGTTGGGGTAGTAGTAGGGGTAGGGGTAGGGGTAGGGGTAGTGGTAGGGGTAGTGGTAGGGGTAGGGGTAGTGGTAGGGGTAGTGGTAGGGGTAGTGGTAGGGGTAGTGGTAGGGATAGTGGTAGGAGTAGTGGTATGAGTAGAAGTAGTAGAAGTGTGGTACAGGCCGATCCAATGTGACGATGGTGACCTATACGACCTGGCCTGACCGAAGGTGACCTGGCCTGACCCAGTGTGACCAGGGATGGCCAACTTGACCTGACTTGACCCCATATGATCCAAATTTCATCCAACTAAGTTATTATGTTCAAAATTTTCCTCTGCACGTTTCCGTCCATATCTCTGCTTCCAGACGACTGATCAATTTAAATCAAACACCATTCGAAAGCAAATTGGCTGCTGCCGTATTTTATCGCTACGCCGCGAAGCAAGTGGCGCAGCCGCTTGTCTATCTACTATACTATTTGTGAAATGAAACTCTGTCTGTAGGTATGTGTTTCTGTCTGTTTGCACCGTGCAGAGGGGTGCTTTGACGCCGTGCACAGGTCAAACGGTGCGGTCGATGGGGCTGAAATTTTCGCAGGGTGTTGATGACCCCGACCCCGATACCGGGGTCGGAGGGGAGGACAGAAGAGGACTCGACCGCGGCGGAGGAGGGGAGGAGTGACCTGGCACCGACACGGTGACTACACCGCAAGCTCTGTGATGGTGGGGCAGCTCAACGTTCAATCACTTAAACCTAAGCTGCCCGACTTGCGCACTGACATATGTGACGTGTATGGTTTTGATGTGCTTGTCCTATGTGAAACCTGGCTGTCCCCTAACGTTCCGAACCGTCTCCTGACGGTCAGTGGCTACCGGCTGTATAGGAGTGACCGACAGGACGGTCGCGGTCTAGCCAGCGGCCGCGGTGGTGTAGCTCTGTTGGTCCGTGAAGCGCACCGGGTGGAGGTTTTACCTACGCCAGTGACCGGAGTGCCGAACTCTAATATCGAGATACTGTGGGCCAAAGTGTTCGTAGGAAACCACCGTGGTATTTTGTTCGCCAGCGTGTACCGTGTGCCGCGGAATTCAGCAGCACAAGTGACGTCAGACCTAGAGGACATAGAAGGTCAGGTGCAGCATATGGTTGCGAGTCACCCCGGCGCTACACTGGTGTTAGCCGGTGACCTGAACTGCTGCCTGCTGAAGCCTGCTGCTGACTCGCCCGGCCACCGGCTGACTCGCCTGCTGACCACGTACGGCCTGCGGATCGCCAACACCGAGCACCCGACTTACCGACCAGCCAACTCACTACTTGACGTCATCGCAACCAGCCGGCCCGACCTGGTGACACGTGCTGGGGTGACCCGCTGCCAGTACGGCACCCCGCACGACTTCACACGGCTGGTGCTGCGCTGCGGTGGAGCGGGGCGACCGTCCCGACCGACTGTCCAGCGGAGATGCCTGCAGAAAGTCGACTCTGAGCAGTTTAATCTGCAGCTCTCCGAAGCGGACTGGAGTCCTGTGCTCTTGCGCGAGCGACCTGCCGACAAGTGGGAGGAATTTCGCGCGATATTCCTCTCGCAGCTCGACGGGGTGGCCCCGGTCACCCGAGTGCGGCTGTCGCCACCCGGCGCGCCGCCCCTGACGGCTGACACCCGCCAGCTGCTAGCCGAGCGGAGACAGGCGCTCCAGGCAGGCGGACAGCGCGACCGCTACAAGGAGCTGAACCGCCAGTGCCGCGGAGCGATACGGCGAGACCAGACTGCCCACTATCAGCGCGAACTGGACAAGGCGGGGCCGGGCAGCGTCTGGCGCGTGCTGCGGCCTATCATTGGCAGTAAGAAGGAAACTGCCGTGCCCAGTGCTACCCCTGATGCACTCAACGACTATTATGTCAGCATTGGCCCTGCCACTGCCGCCAGCGTCCCGAGACCTGCTGCACCGGTGCCCGTCCGCCTGCCACGAGTGACGACAAGTGGGTTCCGGCCACAGCCCATCGATCTTGACACGCTGTGTCTGGTCCTGTGGTCCATGAAGCCGTCTAGAGCAACCGGACTTGACGGGATCAGTGTCGACATGTTCAGGAGATACTTCTGGGGTACTGGACAGATTCTGCTCGACATGATCAACACGAGCCTGGTGACCTGTCAGGTGCCGGCGGCGTGGAAACACGCGCTTGTCACGCCAATCCCGAAGGGGAAAGGACCTTCAGCTCCAGCCAACACCCGCCCAATCTCGATTCTGCCGGGAGTGATGAAGATTACTGAGAGAGTAGTGCAGCTCCAGCTCACTCAGTATCTGGAGACCAAAAGCTGCTCTCCAGCGCCCAGCACGGATATCGGAAGGGTCACAGCACGGAGACCGCTCTCAGCGTCATCACCGAACACGTCCTCTGCGCTATGGACTGTCGCGAGATATCTGTGCTCGTGCTACTTGACCTATCGAAG